AATTTGATGTTGGCCAAATGTTGATTAAGTTTCATTCGCTTGTCACTCAGTATTTTGTTTCTTCTCTTCTCTATTTTCTGTTTGTCACACAAAAAAAGGTAGGAAAAAAGCTCTGAAAAAAAGCCCAAAGAAAGACAAAACAAACAAAATAGCAGCTCATAAATAATTTTTATATGCACACAGGGCTTGGCTTGGCTACGATTTAATTTAATCAATGAGCCCCTCACGTGTTGCGGCCACATAAATCGACAGTCCCCAAGCAGGTTGCTCTTGCTTTTGCTTTAGCTTTGGTTTTGCTTTGATTTTTGCTTGATTTCGTAATGTTAACTGACATTTATTTGCTGTTTACGATTAGGGGTACGGCTAAAATGAGAAATTGTCATGAATGCCAATAAGGGGGAAGTTTTTTTGGCAGGGGGAATGTACATAAATTGGTAAAGAAATATAGATATTTATATGGAAATGTTTTTGTTGTGTCGTGTAAATTGTATTCCTTCAAGTGATATTTCATTTTAGATTATTGATATCGACTAATCTTTTTGAAAATCAATCGATTTATTGTAGATATCATATACAAAATATCGTGGAAAAATGCAGCCAAAATATGTTTTATAGTACAAGTATTATAGTATTATTTAGCATTGCTATCGATTCAAAATCATGCTTTGGATTCGATTTTTCATCAAAAGAACATTTTAAACGGACTTTAATGTCTTTTATAGATTATAATCGATTATTTAAACCTGTTATCGATTTTTTTCTTAAAATATTGCAGTGTAATCGTAACTTCTACCCAAAATGAGCTTTTAAACCCAGTTTCTTTTAGGAATATCAATATTTATTTGTATCTCAAGAATTTGAATAAAATATTCCTACATAGAGATGCAAATTTGTCCAATATATCATATATTTCCATTGAAAGATCTAATCTAAGCGATGTGCCATGATGACAATCATTTGTAGACACTCTTAAAAAAGACATCTCCTACGAGTTATGATTTTCTCTCCTGTAACTTTGATTGTAATTATCGTATGTTTTCTTTTATCGATAATTTAATCAAGCTTCTGTGTTCCCATCTCTAGTACAGACATTCTGTTACAATTCTTTCACAAATCACATACTGTGTAGACATCTGCTCCGCTCCACATCAAGTATGGCCGGGCGTCTTGGCCAAGATCTTAAGCATTTGCCTGATGTTTCACTCAACAGCATTCCGAGACACAAGACACACACAACACTTGATGTTGTTCATAACAAAACAACACAGACCTCATTCCAGGGGATTCCATGGGGCAGTTAATTTTATGCAGCAGGATAGTTGGAAAGTTTTTTGCCTCGGCACATTTCTTCCATCATTCAAATTTCCCAGTGCGTGCGGGCCCGGCACGTCCCATTCCCATACCACTGTACCATTTCGCATTTAATTGTGCTGTTGCACAACAGACGACTCCCGAGTGAAACAATTTCTTAATTGATGCCAACATTCAATGGGGAATGGGGGGACACGTGCCTCCGAATGTGTGTGCAACTTTCACATGGACAACAACATAATAAGAGCAGAGCATAACGAAACCCCTTAAAATCCAGGCGAAAACAAACAAAAAGTGTATATTAAATATTCATTAGATCTCGGGGCGGGGCCACACCCCGATCGTACTCGTAGATCATGAGATCCTTGTCCACTTTGTCAGCGGTGCTTGTGAGACATGTAGTATAATTAAGCCGAAACACTTGTTAAACAAATGCACACCAAGAAATCCCGCATATAAATCGAAAGATCGATCACACAAAATATCTCATAGAATACACGTTAGCCATGAGATACAATTACGCCTGAGTGCTCCTACTGCTGCTGACAATCCTAACAGCAAATCAAAACTGCGAACAAAAACTTTGATTGGCCACAAAAATTCACACAGATACAAATAATTACAAAACACACAACAAAAGTCTCCCAGAAAATCCGAATGCCAAAAAAATAAAATGTGCGTTTTGTTGTGGAGAAGTAGTCTTAGAAGTATTCAGACATTCGAGAGACCATCGAATTGCATAGGCCTGCTAGGCCGGCTTGCTAATGGCTTTAATGCTGTTAGCCGTAGTCCGGCTACCACTTTTTGACGCATAAATTTACACCTTATTGGCCCCCATAGCGCCCAGAGCGCGTACGTGCCGTGGTTCTGTGCTTCGGATTGGGGGTACAGAAAACTCTTTTATAATTCAAGTGGTTTTGACTCAAATTGGTTTTAATCATATTTACAAATGTGCAAAATGATACAAATCCACGACGAGAATTCGCCTTTGAAACGTTTCGTATTTGAATGCGCGAATTCCTTGATTGGTTAAGACATTTCCTAATAGAGGGGCTGGCTTTTGGTATTTCAAGTATGATCATTGGTGATTGATATCATTTCATGGACTGTGATTGATGGATAAGCAATTCAACTAGGTTTGCTTAAAGGTTGATGGAGAACTAAATGAAAATCAATGGAAGCCCCAAAAGGATCATCAGAATATGATGGGAAAAACATGTTTAAAACGAGGGGGAACGTTGTGAGTTGCTGCGGACACCGCAACTCTACAGTTATACCCGATACTAAATCAGTATGGCTCTCCTCCAGCAGACGCCGCTAATATTAAACGACACGACAAAGAGTGCGTGCGAGAGAGACAGAAAATCAGTCTGAGCGTGACGTCGGGCGCTGCGTAGCCACTGCAAATTGATTTGTTCCTTTTGGCTATAAAAATTATCTGATCTGATCCAGATTCAGCAATCTGATAGATATAGTCGTTCTCTATGATTCTGCGTTTTTGGTTTTCTCGTATCTTTAAAATTGTGGATGCCACAGATTTTCGCCCTTTGTGGGGGCGGAAGTTGGCGGGACGAAGTTTTGAAATATTTTTGTAGCAGTGACATATCACAGAAGTCTGGATCCAAAACATCGTTGCTCTAGCTCTTATAGTCTTTGAGCACTAGGCGCTGAAGGGGACGGACAGACGGACGGACAGACAGACAAACAGACAGGGCTTAATCGCCTCGGCTATTGATGCTGATCAAGAATATATATACTTTATGGGGTCGGAAACGATTCCTTCTGGACGTTACACACATCCACTTTCACCACAAATCTAATATACCCCAATACTCATTTTGAGTATCGGGTATAAAAATCTAGTAAATATTTCAGAGGAAAGAAAAGTTACAGCCTTCAAAAACGGGTTATTTATTCGGGAATTCAGTAAATTCTTTTTCAATTCTTTGAACGATTGATTAAACAAAAGCCAATCCCCAACAATAAAAACCCAAAATCCAAGCTCCATATTCCACTCCATTCAACAGCCATCAGAAGCTTGAATTTAATGCAATTTCTTTAACATTAGATCTGCATTATTTCTTTAGGAAAAAACCAACTAAAATATCTTCCAGTTACCTCACATTTTCCTTCCCCTAGACACCCCTAATGATCCCAAAAAAAAAGGAACATACTTCTCATTCCCTTCGTGTTGCCTCAATTTTTTAGTCATTCCTTTGAGGGGGTGTGGCTCCAACAACAGCCCCAGAACAGCACCCTGCTACGAGTACAAGGACAGACCATCTGCCATAGAAAGAGCAGAGGGAGGGGGTTTTGTGTGTCATTAACTAAATGTAGCGTAAAATTGCCGTCGTTTCCGCATCTGTGGTGTCAATTTCACACATGTTATGAGCACTTCTGCGGTCACCACAGATTGATGACTCTTTCTCCCTTTATTTTTTGTTGTCCTTGTCCTTGGTTTTAGATTAAACAAGTTCCGGGGGCGACAGGAAGTGTCCAGGGAAAAACTCTTCAAAGGGAAAATGTACATACGATTGGCTTTGGGATTTAAAATTCTTCAAACATCGAGACACAGAGAGAGGGAGAGAAGGGGGACATTGGCGACAACAAATCATGACAATGGCAGGGTACAAAATGCCGACAACAACTGCTGCCACGATCATGATCATCATCATGATGATGATGATGACGATGATCCTCATGGCCAATGGCAACAACGTCGGCAACATAGCACATCATCAAATGCAACACGCTGCTGCTGCCGATCCGATGATAATGAAGATGGGCGACAAAGCCACAGACCGACCTCTCCAAGCGGTAGGAGAAGGAGAAGCCTGGCCAAGAAGAGTCCGACGTTAGAAAGGTAGAAACCAACAACCGAACAAACGACAACAAACGGGTACGAGGCATACGACAATCACCAGGCCACAAAAAGTGCGATCGATTGCAATGCGCACCGAATTTCAATTGGAGACGACGACGACGACGACAACGACGACGACTCCTCCGAACGAGCCAAGAGGAAGGCTGACTGCTCCTCCGATAATGGATGGCCGTTGGTCGTTGGTCGTCTGGCGCGGAATACAGTTGCAGACAACAGACGTACGGCGGCGATAGGAATTGGGTTATGACCTCGAATGCGTGTCGCCATGGACAATGCCCAGAAGATGCATCTGGCCAGAGGATTGGTGGATTGGATTGTTTGGAGGGGGCGCATGATTGAGCCATTTTGGGGGCAGCCAGCAGGCCTTAAAAAGTTGAAAGTTTAAAGAATCAAATAAAGATTGGCATTTAAGGAATGTCTAGGAAAGAAAAGAGAAGGATTGAGAGGTTTTTTATGCCACTATTCCTTAAATAGAAAAGGAATCTTTTAAACCTTTAATTTCTATCAAAAACCATATTAAATGAATCTTTATACGAAATATTATTGCTTCTCACACTTCGCAAAGCGATGGTCTATGAAATCTGTATCAAATTTCCTCCGTAAATTCGAATCGAAATATATAAAAGATGCCAAAACCCAGTATTCCATTTCAGAGCCTAAAAATCGAACAGAAATTCTACTTAAAATGGGACTAAAACCACCCTGCCAAAATGCTAAAAATCCAATTTTAAAAAAACCTCATCAAAACACCCCATGAAAAATACCTAAAAAAGAAAAATTTTTATTCAAAATTTTGAGCGTAAACAGTTTTTTGGAATTTTTCTTTCCCCCCGGAAATTATTGGAGTTGAGCCTCCAGAAGCATGTGGCAGCCGCGACGACGCAGGTGCTCGAAGGAGTGGTGTCTCCGCAATGCCCAGCCGAAGCCCTCGATTCCCCCCTTCAAGCCGGAGCCGACCCGCTGGGCAAAGCCGGGGCCCATGAATCTAGACGATTGGGTGAACTTCTACAAGTGGTGCCAGGTGAATGCTGCGCCCATCGAGAGGCCACCCATCAAGAAGGAGCCGCCGCCTCCGCCCACACCTGAGCGGGTACCCAGGATGGCCGAGGCTCCGAAGGCACCGATTGTGGGCTGGACTCGCTGCGAGTCGGGAGGGAACAGAGACGAGCAGGACGCCTTCAGTCGGCTGAGCAGTCCGCGTTGGCGCCGGGGAAAGTACCAGCCGCCGCCCCCGGAGGTGTTTGCCTACCGCCCCCGCCTCGCCTATCAGCCGCGTCCAATGCCAGAGCCGGGCAGACCGGCGAATAAGATAAAAGTGCCCTGCTGCTTCCAGCACGACGACGTGGAGTCCGAGTTCTGGGCCACCGTACGCTTTCCTGTCTCGAAGAACGCCCGGTCAACGATGCCATCGCGGAAGGACTGTGAGCTCTCAAGACCCAGGGCGGTACCACCGAAGCCCCACTGCCCACTACCGTCGCAAAATGCCTACCTTATGCCCAAGCGGAAGAAAATGACTGCCCGCCAATGGCGAGCCCATCAACAGCGTCTGAAAATCTTGGCCCAGCCAAGTGAGCGAATTCTGGCGGAACTGCCATGCTTCTGTGATCGGTGGTAACCGAGGAAAGCTCAAAGATCGGGTTCGAAGGAGCCAAAGGATCAGCATTAATCCATAGAGCATAGAGCAACTGGAGATGGATGTCTATGATGCAGTCAGTTGATTGAACTATGGTTTAGGGCAGATTGTTTTGGCCTTTCTTGAAATTTAAAGTGACAGAAAATATATTGTGTCGTGGAAAGAAGCAAATAGTGAGGGTCTCTAGAGGTAGATGTGGAGGGAAAATGTTTAGGCGAAGAAGGAAAGGAAGGAACTGTCGGATCTGTAGAGTAGATCTCTCTGAAAGTTTTCCAGATCCGTGGTAGCTCCTACACAGCAAAAGGAAAACCTCTTTAAATATTTTAGATATACATTTATTTCATTGAAGAAAAGGTCAATAGGCTATAAAAATAATATCTGAGACACTGGATCTGTCATCTGAAGCTCATCTCTAAGCTCAATTAAAACAATTAAAAATAAAAATTTAATCCAATGCAAACTAAGGAAAGGGGGAACGCCTCTGCTCACAGATAGAAGTATTCGTAGTGCCCCCTGTTCATGGGTTGGGACAGATAGGTCAGGCGTATCTGGTGGAGGCGCCAGCCTTGGGGCGTGAACTTTTTCCGCTTTGGTGGCGGCACATCCAGCGGGCCCGGGGTTTTCGGCGGAATCGGGCAATGCGGAGTTGGTGGCAGGGTGCGGGGCTTGGCCAGATCGATGATGCGCGGAGAGGCTTGGCCCTTGAGAGCTTCCTTGCGAACGGGGAAACGGAGCTGGGACCAGAACTCGGCCTCGACTTCGTTGTGCTGGAAGCAGCAGGGCACGGAGGGAGGCTGGAAGGGACGTCCCCTGTCACGATGGGGCGGCTGCCCCACTGTAATGACCGGGTTATAGGGCGAGTCGTCGTCGTGGAACTGGTGCTTCTTGTTAACAATTCGAGGCTTTGCCAGTTCCACGAGCTTCTCGTCCAAATCCATCCAATCCATACTCCCTCCGGCCTTGCCGCCGCCGGCCTGGTAAAGATTTTCCGCCTCCTTGAAAGTGCGCTCCTGGGGCGCGGCCTTCGTCGTCGCCCAGTGGTAGAACTTCTTCCAGTCCTTCTTCTTCATGGGCCCCTTCTTTTGCCACTTGGTCAGAATCCGCTCCTCCCTGTGCCGTTTCCGCACCAGGGGCTTCGAGTTCCTTTCGACCCATTCCACCCACGAGGGCACAGGCTTCTGATTGATCTCATCCGTGGGTATCGTCAGCACGGTTTTTGCGGCGCGTGCATCCCCGATGTTTATGCCACTGACCATGTCGTTGGTTTTTCTCTTCTCCTCTCAGTTGATTGGCACTTCCAAAAATGGGGATTTTACTGCGAATTTTCAATTGATTTTACAGGATTTTACTGTTACCGGAGGAATGTTGACAGGAAAATCTTTACTCGCTGGACATTTTAGAAGCCATTAAGCAAGAGCCTACTTTTAAGCCAAGAAAAACGGAAATTTGAGGTGAATCCCATCACAAAATCAGTAGAGTTTTACCTTCCGTCGAAACCACAACAAAAATTCGTATTTGAAAAATATTGAAAAATTTTGGTAGCGAAATTTAAAGTGAAAGAAACCACTTTTTGCGATGGGCGATCAGGAGGACTTTAAGCTGCCGCAGGTGCCAGGCGGTAAGGGCGATGCCTCGCCAGCGGAGCCCCCCTCGTGGGTGGCCTGGGTGGAGCGCAATTCCAAGCCACGGGTGCGTGTCCGTCCGAAGGTGGTGCGAGAGCTGACGCCCTGGCAGAAGGCCGGACCCATGAAGAAGAAGGACTGGAAGCACTTCTACCAGTGGGCTTCCACCAAGGCCATGCCGAAGGAGCAGCCAGAGCCGCCACCAATGGAAATCCCCTGCGAGGCAGACTATCTGCCGTGCGGCAAGCAGAGACAAGCCGACGAGGACGACTTGGACATGGGCGAGAAGATGGAGCAGCTCTCCATACCGCTGGAACGCAGGCAGCGCAAGAAGTACCAGCCCATCCCGCCGTCTATCACCTACAACCCAATGATCGTGTGGGGCCAGCAGCCGCACCTCGATAAGGGTCGTCCGTTCAAACCCCCGGAAAAACCCTGCTGTTTCCCCAACTCTGACATCGAGGACGAGTTCTGGGCCACCCTGCGTTTCCCCGTCCGCAAGGCAGCCCTCAAGGGCCGTCCAACGGCGCGTATTATCAGTTTGGCCAGGCCGAAGGTCATGCCACCCTGGCCACCCCATTGCCCCCTGCCGGAGAAAGCCCTGGCCCCGCTGGATGTGCCGCCACCGAAACGCAAGAAGTTCACGCCCCAAGGCTGGCGCATGCACCAGATACGTCTGATCTATCTGTCCAAACCGATCTCACGTCGTGAATTTGAATACTTCTATATGTGATTCGAGGTATCATTGGAGTACCCTCAATGGGAAAACGATTGGAGAATTAGGGTTCGTTCAAAATTTGATTTGTTTTTGAAGTTTACTTCCAAGTTTCGTACACAGTTTGTTTTTGTAAGCGTATAAATATTAAAGTATCGTGAATTGTGTACAGGATTATTCCTCAAGATCCAGAGCAGATACTTTAACTTTTTTTTTATTCGAATGAAGATCTAGATTTTGAATGATATAATAAATAGAGCTACTCGATGTAGATAGATCTTTCTGCTATAGATTTCCAACTTTTTTGACCCCTCTTTTTATGGCTGTCAATCACAAATGGTCATAGATACAATGCTTATATTAAATACAATATTTACTTCAATAATTGTCTGCCTATATACCAATTTTCATAGCTATCGAATCGTTCTGTACTGTAATCATAGTTATTTCCCTTCGAAGATTCAGGAATTCTCTTCAGACACTGGCAATAAACCCCGAACAAATCCCTTAAAAAATTAACAATTTCACACACAGATAAGAATTGCAATTTATTTGACTTTTTATGGGCTTACAGTAGCGACAGCCCAGAGATGTAATCTAAGCCTGAAAATCTGCGCAAGGCAAAGGCACAGTCACAGTCACAGGGAAGACAGAGAGAACCTCGGAACGAAGGGGCCAAGAGCCCAATGAGAGCCACTTAGTCATGGCCAGGCGCATTACAGTCAAAGGTGAGGCTGTGGCAAAGGCCCTGCTGTCCAGAGATGAGATTGGCCCTGTCCTGGCCGTCGTTGCATTTATCAGGCGTAACAAACATGCGTCACATTGGGCACCAGAGAGACCCGAGGCAGATTGCGCAGACTGTGGATCCTCTAGGATCAAGGTTCACAAATGATCATCAGTCAAATCAATTAGATAATTGAATGAATGATTTGTAAAATCCGATTATGTTCGCCAGGTTTACTTTTTTCCTTTCCTACCATTCTCTTCATTTTCTTTTCTTTCCTACCATTCTTCTTCTTTACTTTCCTGGTTTTAAGTTATTTCTTTTTCACTTCCCTGTTTTTTTTTAGTTTTACTTTTTTTTTGCTGCAGTTTTTCTGTGTTCGTGCCAATTGGTAATCCATGGAGAGGGCCCCAAAAAAAGAAAACTCCTGTAACACTCGTGGCAGGCGGCAGCAACAATCCAAACAAAAGCGAAAATATTTATTACAATCATAAATACAACTACAACAACCAGACCGGTGGCAAAGGAGAACGGAAATGCCTATTATTGATAGTATTTATAGGGTGGAAGGCAAAGGGTTTTTGGCGGAAGATTCTGCTTTTTGGCAGAGTCCTTGCGACTTTTGATAGAGGAACACAGAAAGTTCTATAAGTATGATTCGGGATCGTACGCGAAACACTCGTGAGGAGGATTTTTAGAGGATATTTATATGATAATATATTTGGAAAATTTCCTAAGAATTTTTACAAGATTTCAAGAGTGGAATACCTTAAAAAAGATAAGAAATCGATCTACATCTACAATTTGTTTGGGATAACAGTATGACCTATCCCAAGACCCTTAAATAATATATCACACACGACATTTCCATTCTCTCATACCCCAAAAACCTCTTCTGCACACTCCCCCCGCGATGACAGCTGAAATATGCTAAAAAGCGAAACTTTTGCTGTTTTTTCTGGTGTTGTTCGATGGCTTGCTGCAATGCCGCGACGTTTGACCGAAATACATGTCAAAATAAGCCAAAAAAAAAAAATATATATATATATAAAGGAAAACCTCTTTCGGGCCTTGGATTGAATATTATTGATAAAACTTATGGCTCGCCGGAATAGTGGCAGCCTGAACTTTGCTACAGTTCAATAATATTGCATTGCATTCTGTGGAGGTTCCTGTTCTCGTTTTTGTTTGTTGTAACAGTAAAAGTAAACCCTATCATTAAATGTTGGCTGCTAAAGACCTGCCTCTCTTTCTAGCCAACAAATGTTGAGCTATGACTTGTAGACAATTCCTCTGGCGACTGTCGAACGATGATGATCAGATCTACTGACTGTTGAACGATGATGATCGACTCCTCTGACTGTGGAATGATGATGATCGACTCCTCTGACTGTGGAATGATGATGATCGACTCCTCTGACTGTCGGACGATGATGATCGACTCCACTGACTGTCGGACGATGATGATCGACTCCACTGACGAGACAATGTCGATCATGATATGGGATCAGGTAGAAGATGATGATGATGATGCTGCTGACTGCATGCTGCACTTGTGTATTGCATACCAAAATAGCAGAGCGCCAGGCAATGTCGCCAAGAAGCCAGACCCAGAGCCAGGCCCAGAACACAACACCCCCAACCCCCCGGAGCAACCAGTTGTTGTCTCTCGTGTGTTGTTTCTGTGTCTCTGCTGTCGTCTGCCTGCTGATTGCAACTTTTGTTGCAATGAATGCTGTTGCCTCGTCTGTTTTATTTATGCAATTTACAGTTACAGTCCCAGCCTAGGACCCAGAGTCGTATAGCCTCAGAATCGGCGAATTAAAATATGCAAAGGTCCCCTCTTCCCTCCCCCAATCCACGATTAAAGTTGAACTAGTTGCTTGGCTCTGGTTTTGTAGGCATTGTCGTTGGCTGGTTGGTTGGTCTCTGGGGCATCAAATGCCACACGTTAGTGGGAGAATATATGGTCATGGCATAGATAAAGTTGTCGCCGCACAGATGATGATCTCGTTGTGGGTGCTGCTCTGCAAAAGAGGTTATCGCTGAGGAATCGTCTATAAAAACTAGAGGTGGCAACAAATGATCGATCTACAAGACGATAACTGATGAAACGATCGATGAATAATCAATTTGTGGCCATTTTAGACGAAAGACTCTCAATCTTTGGTAAAGCCAAGTACTTAAGTGAGGATTTTGGCATTTTTATCAGAAATTATGGATTATTTTTAGGAAAAACTCGATATTATTTAGGAGAATTGAAGTTCTGTGATGAGGTTTTTTATATCAAATATATTATTTTTCGATTAAAAATCGACCGATATGCAACACATTTCATATCGATGGTATATTTAATCGATTTTCGTTATCGATCAAATCTTTCCTATATGAATTTACTGCTGTTTCTAAAGGTATCCCCTTGCTGATAGCCCTACCTAATCTTGAACCCCAATATATCACCTAACATCGATCCTCATCAATTAATTACAGCCCCCATTTAATGACCATAAAATTGTAGAAAATGTAACATAACTCGTAGTTTTTTGTTAAACCGCCAGCTGTGTGTTTTTTAAGGCTCGTAACTCGTAACTCCTAACCGCAATTAATCAATAATGAGCCGTCCATAAATTGTTGTATTTGCAGACTTCCTCAGCGATATGAGCGGCGTTTCGCCGATGCGACGGCGACACCACCCGCGCGGCACCAAGCGCGGTCGGCCACGTGGCAGCACGAGACGCGGCGGCGGACATGGGTCGCTGCAGCGCGTGCTGACGCCAACGCATTCGCCGGGGCAGGGGCAGCAGGCCGCCGCAGCAGGAGGAGGATCAGCAGGGGAAGCGGGCTCTGGAACGTCTTCGCCCCTGCCACAGCTACAGCAGGAAGGAAGCGGTGGAGGCGAGTTTGCCCCCGTGCCGCTCAATGAAGAAGGTAAGAAAACACTGAGAGAAAAGAGGAAAAAAGGGAGGAGAAATGCTGATGGGAATTAAAAAAATTTTTCATAGGAATGAGAGCATGAAAGTAGTAGCTTTATATACACCGAAACTCCTAGGAAAATGCTCATATATTTAAATAATTTTCTTTCACTGCAATGCCCTTCCTTTCCGGCTCTTCTTCAAGCGGTAGTTAGGGCTCTCACCCCCTCTCCCCCTTAATGCACTCGATTGAGTGTCACTTGTCACTAAGTAATCGCTTGTCATAATCACGTTTATCGTCTGCCTTTTTCCGGGGCACTTGTACTTTTTGGGCAACATTATCTCCACTTTTCTTTTGTGGTTGATCTGCCCTGCCGTACGTTCCCCCTTTTTTTTGGCCTTTTCTTGGCTTCGATTACAGCCCGCAGGAATACCACTTTGTGGTACGTGACAATTTTAACGCACTCCCGAAATGGATTATATTCAAACCCCTCCCTCCCCTCATTGCCCGCCCTTTCTACCAAAGAAATCAAACAAATATCCGATAAAAACTGCCTGGCATTTTCTCCCCCTTTTATGCGGCTTCAAGTCAAGGCAAATATTTGCCTAAAGATTTACATCTGGCTGCCATTATCTTTGGCTTTTCTTGGGGAGATGTAACTCCTCTTCATTGGGGATATATTTCCCCCTTCGTGGGGACATCTTTCCTTTGGTTTGGGCTTCAAAATGATAGATACATATGCCTCTTAATGCTTCTTGTAGAACATTTATCACGTTGCACAGATTGTTGCCACTTTTGATTCATAATTTTCTGTGAAAAGTAATTTTCCATCTGTCCAGTATTTAAAGTCAAACAAATGGGATTTAAACCGAGGCGAAAATATGGCAAAAATGTTGCATGAGTCGCACGACAAATGATAATTGCACAAATCCGCTTAAATGACGCAGACAGTACAGACGATGCAGCGTGGCAGGGACGGGGGTTGTGTGAGGTATGAGGGTGCATTGTTGTACACGTGACAGGAACATGTGGGCCCGAAAATGGAGACATAATCGCACTGGCAAATACGCAACGTTGCATAAATTACCATGCAACATGGAGCGCCCTCCGTCCCCCGAGGGTGGGACCATAATTATAAAAACCACAATTGCATGCAAGGATTTGCAGAGGATACAACGTGCGGCAGCAAATGCCCATGGAATTAGTGGAAATATGCCTCTGATCCTCTGTCCAATTAACGGATGTCCTGCCAGACACAAGTTTGGGGGGATAGAGACATGCCTGAATTTCTTTAAATCAAATAACTAAAGTGGATCCATTTCTTCTTCTCCCAAACAGATCTCCCCATACACCAGCAGAACCCTACGATGCAAGCAGTATCCCCCACTGGAGCCGTCAAGCGCGGACCAGGACGACCCCGATCCAAGACAGCGGCACCCATCAGTCGAGGGACACGCGGCGCCCCACGCGCCCGCCGGCCGATGGGTCCTTTGCTGGTGCCACTGGGCCGCAGTCCAGAGGCCCTGCCACCAGGTCAAGTCCCAGCCGAGACTGCCACACAAGC